TTAAACGAACCGAACACGAACACAAGCTTTGTTCGTTCGTGTTCGGTTCGTTTACACCCCTATATCCAACCACATCACAAAGATCTAAGGGGAGCCAGTACACGTGCAACATGTTGCACAATACAGGATTGAAGAGATTATTCGTTCCATGCTAAAGGATATAAAAGTAAGGTGGTCTAAGATATACTTGTGATGATGTTGATGTTGAAGATGATAATACCTATGAGGGTAATAATGATCATGATTAAACTCTTTTTTATTTTATTTTAATCATATAGAGGGTGTGCCCTTTATTATAATGGCATGTGATGTAGTATTTATTTTAAATGTTGATTAGAAATATATAAATATTGTTTGAGTTGTTGAGTTAGTTTAACATATGTTCTTATTCATGCTGTTTGATTTTATATAATGGCATGTGATGCAGTATTTATTTTAAATGTTGATTAGAAATATATAAATATTGTTTGAGTTGTTGAGTTAGTTTAACATATGTTCTTATTCATGCTGTTTGATTTTTATAATCATGTGAATTCATTCTGAATTTTTTTGTGTATGATTGTAATTTATTTTGTATGTTGCACGGGCTATACGTGGAAGATTGATCTTTTAATTATTTTGTGGCATAATTTTTACAACAAAAAACACGTTTTTACAAACGTATGTTTGTAAGAAACATGTCTCTTGTCGCAATATTGTGTTAAATTTTATGATCATGCTTCTGATTGTGAATCTAGCTGCTTGTGGCCAATTTTGCAATAATTTTGATTGTCTCAAGTTTTCATTTATCCTATAATGATCCCACATCAAATACAATGATCCGCCCCTTAATAGCCGTTTGAGTCAAACTTGACTCGAGCGAGTCAAATGGGCAAAGCTTATAGTAAGGATCATCGAATCAATTTTAGTTCCATGGAGGAAGTGATTTGAGTCATCCTATTTAGCTATCAATTTAATAAATAGTATGACAAAAAATGCTAAAATGTACAGCCTAAAACTTGAAAAGTTGACGAGTTTCCAAGTATTTTAGATAAAATTTTCATATCATAGAAATTATAAATTTTTAACTCTTGTTTGTAACACCACGCATTTTTTAAAAATTTTTTAGTGGCCCGAACTCCGTATCTATCATCTTGAGCATTGCTTAAACTAAACCTTACAAGCAAGTATTCCTTAATTTATCTAAGATCAGCTCAATACAACTATATAATGTGTAGATTTGTTTTCGTTTAGCCCGAAGTTGTTTCAACAGAAGGATAATTTTTTATCATTTTAGATCGCAAATGACAATATCTATTTCACATGTCTTTTAAAGAAGCATAGCTAAATGGTGAAGTTTCTTCAAATGAACCCTTAGCCTAACTTATTTGAAACTCTATCGCCGCTCAAATTCCAAAAAGAAAAAAAAAAATAGTATGTTACATATATATGACTTTAAAACTCGACTATTTGTGCGCTTTTTTGAATTTTGATAAATAGATAAATGAACTTTTATTGTTGAGATAAGCATCTAAATTGGACAAAACTTATTGATATCATTATTATCTTCATCTTCATCTTCATCCAAATCCAAACAAATCTAAATCAATCAATCATAAGAATAAATAAATATTTCTTAAGGTCACTCGGAGGGTTAGACATCTTCCTAGTCTAGTTTGCTCAATGGAATGAATGCCACAAGATCAAGATTATTCAATTATACTATGATCAAGGCATCAGAATATTTAAAAAAAAAAATCATGTGCAATTAATGGGGTTCAACTCCAATCAATTGATTGAATTTCCTATTTTCCAGAGCAAATGATTGTGGTGACCCTCAAAAAAATTTATAACTAGCATATACTTCTACACATTCAGGAGGCCAAAGGCAAACTTGAAAGAAGAATCAAGGAAAAAGAACTATTGGACTTAGAGATATTAAGAGAGACATTCAAAACAAAATGTTGGCATTCATCATTATCAACAAACCAAATGTCTCTTGCCACCAAAAATAATGACATCAGCTCTCATCAACAACATCAAAAGCTTCTTGTTGTTAACAAAGCTGACACATATCAACGTTCTTTTTTTTTTGGCCAATTATTATTAATTAATTTGACGATGACAAATGACAATAAGATCTACGTCAGTTGTCACCAATATGAACTACATATTTAATTGATTTAACAAAGTCAATATTTGTCTTCTTCACTGAGCATTGCATTAACTATTATCATTAAGGTCGATGTCCACCATCTCTATCAAATTGATGCATGTTGTTATCCACATCTCTTAGCACTATCATTGTTAAAAACGGTTTCGTTAGCGAAGAGGTTGAATTTCTGTTGCGTTACAGTGAACGCCCATGCTTGTGAAAGTTTTTCTTTAGTGAAGTGGCACCTGTCGAGTATTTTCCGAAACTGTTCGCCAGAACTATAACTTTTTGTCATTTTGGATCACGGAGGACCTTCTCTCTGTTCTACTAAAGTGCCTTTTAAAATAACTTCATTGAACAATGAAGCTAGTACAAACAAAGCCAAAGTTTCACATCATCAAAACTACAGCTGATGTCCACTATGGCCCCATCCTTCCTGTTTATAAATGATAGTAATTGTAATATAATATATAAATGATGAAAATGTCTAATTTATGATTACAAAAAGTCAATTTTTTTAATATTAAAATAAGAGTAATTTT